AGTATTTGAAAAAGAATGTGTTTTTTGAACATTAAAGCATGTCAACATATTCTGTTACACCAAATACATCAAATAATGATCTTTAAAAAAGCATCATATGACCCCTTTAATAGACTCTTTATTGTATAGAGTTGGGAACTAGGGTTGGGAATCGAAAATCGATTCCGATTCCAGAATCGGATAATTAAGGTCAGGAATCAGATACTTGTCAAATTAAAATTTCGAGTCTGCCTATCGATTCCTATGTGCTTTTTTTTTCTTCTTCTGTGAGGACCAGTGTTGTGCCCAATTCTGACCCCCTGCCAGATTATAACCCCCCAGTATTGGTAGGTTTAGGAGTAGGTGTGGGGCCAGACCTAGCGATCTGCCAGGACCTTGCTCGCTAATCTAAGCGCTCCAAAGTTTGGCTACATTTGCGATCAGAAACCAAAAAAGCTAAGTATAATATCTGTGATAGCTAAACATGTTGCAAGAGAGGTGTCACCACCAACATGACAAAGCACTTTAATTTAATAGATTGTTAAAGATCGCGAACATGATTCAAACACCAACGTGATTCTATTCCTAAATTACAATGATTTGTCTGTTTCATTCCTCAACCTTTGACGTGTGCGATCAATGTTGTGATCACTTGGTTCATCAGTGCAGCGTACGATCACACAAGTGTGATTTGAACATTTAAATTTGCGTTTGCATTGCCATTGACTTAAAGAGAGCAGCTGTCTGTCATGAATGAAACAGCTTCACAGTCTTTTCAGCCACACAGTATCATTATTTCTGTGTTACAAACATTCAAATCACAGAAGTACTGGGATAAAAGTTTTAGAATGATGAGCTTTGTAAAAATCGACGCGTTTCAGAAAGGCGGGGCATAGTGGAGAAACAATAATGTACAGTATGTGGAAAATAATGTGTTTTTTTAACCTTAAACTGCATAAACACATTGCATTACACCAAATACACAAAATAATGTTCTTTTTAGCAACGTCATATGACCCCTTTAATGCATAAATTACATGCGATTTTGTTTAGTTGTCTAATGTTTCTTCTTCAGAATCATGAGAGAACCACAACTTCCATTGGGGGAAAAAAGTCCAGTTTTTATGTAGCCTGTTGATTTTTGTTCATGGTATTCAGCTCCAATAAATGTTTTGCAAAAAAGAGACACAGGATAAATGTTTGATATTATTTAATCACATTGGAATTGAAACTGGGAATCGAAAAGAATTGGAATCGATAAGCAGAATCGGAATCGGAATTGATAAAATTCAGACGATACCCAACCCTAATCTTAACTGCTTACCATGTTACAATTCAGTCATATAATGCACGCAGATGTATATTCTACGGATTGGCTGCTTGTGAGTCAATTCTAGGGGGAATTCACTAAAAATTAGTTGTGCCTCTTAATATCATCATTGGTTTGCATTTCTTGTCTGTAATGTTTTCACACCCTTTTCACTAAAGGAATTATTCAAATCAGATAACCGTAACAGCATAAAAACGCCTAAGAAATTAGTACTGGGTGCTGTTTGCATAGTGCAATTCCCCATTTGCTATACTATGGATGATGCATCAGACTACCACTGACATAGTATGCTGGATCTATACAGTATTGCTACACTGCAATCCAGACGCCTAACTCATGTCTGGATATACGCTGATTATAGAGATCTTCTCCATAATTTTTTTAATTACTGCTGCCATGATCACAAGAAAATGTACACAAATGCCTCTTCTAAATAAAACTTGAGTTTATAGTACAATGTTAATTATGCAAGGCAAATAGCATGCATTTTATAATAAGCCTCATTTGCATAGAAAGCATGAATGTTTGCTCTGAAAAGAATAATTGGTTAATTTACATTTACAGATTTACTTTCTATGCTGGATTGTGGGTGTTTCATAAATAAGACACAAGGTTTTGCACCAATATGACCCCAATGTTTAGCAAATTATCCCCTGGGTCTTTTTTTTTTTATAGTAAACCTTTACAGTGGATGGTTTTTATAGTTAAAAATCAGAGGGAAGTCATGAAATCCTGTATTCTCTGTGAAGGTTTTGGGAATGTTAAGTGAAACACAGGTATTCCAGGTTAGCTATAAGTGTTCAAGTTGTCTCTGTGCATGAAGGGGTCGAAACATTTGATGTGTCTTTGAAATGCCTGCAGCACCACTGAAATGTCAGGTCTCTCACTCATTATCCAGTTCAGTCATGGTTATTAGGCAAGCATGGCTAGCTCACAACATGCCTGGTACCTCTACTAAAAAGTGCACACTCGGGTCACACTTACACACAAAAATGATTAACTCAGAAGTGTGAAAAATACCACATTTCTGTTTACTCTCAGACCTGACAGGTCAGGGGAAAAAAGCTACATAGAGTTTGCTCTATGTAGTGATGTGTAAAGATAAATTGAAAACCAGCAAACAGATTCCACTGCATTGCTGTCACTGGGTGCGACTTGTCAAAAAAGAACTGTCTAGACTGTCAGGGCAATGGAGCAAAATCTGAATTGTTGAAAAAAGCACTCATATAGTGACTTTTTATTTATTTATTTATTTATTTAGGGGTGTCTCTTTATAAGCAAAGTGTATTTATAATGCACTCTATAATACCATTAAAGGTTTTAATGTTTTATGCTTAACAAGGCTGCATTTATTTGATCAAAAATACAATAATATTGTGAAATTTTAAAAACTACAATACTCTTCAGGATTCTTTGATGAATAGAAAGTTATAAAGAACAACATTTATTTGAAGGTTTTTTTAGCATTGTAAAAATATATACTGTCACTTTTGATTAGATTAAAACTATTAATTTCACTTTTCAATGATTGTGTGTTTGCGTAAATATATATATATCAATCCTGAAAATTGTATATGGGTATCATGATAATAATCAGCATCATAATAATAATACTTATCAAACAAAAGTGGCTCTAGCCGGATTTGGACTTATGAAAAGAATCAAATGTACTGAATAAATGTAAAAGCAAACAGTCTCTTTGATTGTGTTTTCAATTTGATTTAGAAATAAAGTGTTTTTTTTTTTTTTTCATTGTACAGGGTCATGTTGGACTTGGATATTTCGAGAGTATTGATGATATGTGTAAAAGTATGGGCATTAATAGCAGGCACGAATAAAAATAATGGATAAATTAACATAACAACACACTTTTCCTGCCCATCACTCTCTTCTCTTTGAGAGGATCAATGATATGTGGATATGAGGTAATGTGTAGGAGAGGGCAGAGAATGTAAAGAGAGGATGTGCTAATACATCCCACTTCCTCTTATCTCTCCTCCTTCCTTTTTATGCTTTTTGTATCCCAGGGTTTCCAGTCACTTTAATTATGTGATGGTGGACAAATAGTGGCATGGGAATAATAAGTCAATTTGTGAAGCATCACGATGAATAAATAATGAAAGCAAAAAAAAAAAACTGAGCGATGCTTGATTAGTTTCACAAGGTTTTGCATTTTCATTTCTTAATCTTTTCTGCAAGTTAGTGGACTTACATGAACCTCTGATCTGTTGGATAATCTATTGAGTTAAAATATGTTGTTGTAACTTGCGTTACTGAGATTGTAACGAGTAATAATATTACCCAAATTTGATTAGTAATGCGTTATATTACTGCGTTACAGCAAAAAGTAATATACTACTGTAATATTATTACTTTTGTAATGCGTTACTCCCAACACTGATTATATCTATATTACCAGAGACACTATAACGGGGAGGAGAAGGACCACCCATGGAAATATGAATGTGTAAAATTAATATGATGGGTGTAGGATAAAATAATAAATAATAAATAAAATAATAAAAATTAGAAAACCACATGACAAAATCACTTAAACTGAAAGTAAAACTGCAATGGAAACTGAAAACATAAACACTAATTCAACATATTAATAAATATAATAGCAATTATATATTATAATGGTTATAATAAATAAATAATATAGTGTTCGATAGAATTTATTTACTCTAGCCTTGAAAAAAAATAAAATAAATATATATATATATATATATATATAACCATCATCAAACCTAAATTCATGTCACCTTTTTGTCAGATTGTATTCCTGATTTAAAATAATACTACATTATTTCAAACACAATCTTGACTGATATTTTTAGGAGATTTTGGTCCTTACCCTTTCAAAGCTGTATGCCTATATAGCTGCCTGGGGATGTGACTAAAATGCTCTAAAAGGGAGTCTGATATTACTTCGAGTAGCCATGATGACTCTACCATGTTAATTTCACCTGCAAGGTTAACAATGCTTTGAGTCTGACCTTGTAAAGCTCACGATTGTTTTATTACTAGGCACACTCACAGTCATGTAGCTGACACATTCATTATACTCCAATGTGTTCAGCGTAAAGTTTGTGGCAGCTCTTGTAGAGTGTGTTGTGTCTGAGTATAATCTGATTGATTGCCTATTAACAGTTGTGAAGACAAGCGTGATTTGCTCTTTCATATGAGAAATGACAGCTGCTATTTTTCACACTTAATAGTGTCCATCTAGGTTTTAACACTTGTCCTGTGCCATCCATCCCCACAAAATATATACATAAATAAATACCAGCATCTATTATTCGCCTCTTTTCAACAATTCAGTTTCATGACTCCCTAACAGTTACATAGGGGTTTTTGCATTGCAAACTAGCATTTGAGTCATTCTGTGTCAACTCATATATACTTAAATATACTTCCATGATCTTTCTTCAGAAAAAAATATCGTCAAAATAAAAAATTTGAGCCAAGGAACTTGAAAATTAGAATTTTACAGATTTGACACTGAATGACCCAATTTGGAAAATTAAGCTCCCACTAGAGCATCCATGTTTTATTCTCTTATTCCAGGCCACCTCTATTACAGCAACAAATATTTAGTGATGTGCTACATACTTGTTTTTGAATAGCAGCGAATGTTTTGTTCATGTCTCTTCTTGTTTTCTCCTCCTTGTTTGTTTCGTCTCAACAGAGAGCAAGGAGGTGTACAAAAGACAAGTGATGTCTATCACATGTATTGCCATGGGGATCAGCTTTCTAGGCACCCTCTGCATGGCTCTCTACTATCGGAACAAGTAAGTGGACCTCAGAATTAATCAAAGCTTGAGCTGTTCCCCAGAGCATATCATTTGAAAGAAGGGCACTATATAACAAGCTAGAGGAAAGAGTGACTGCTATAGAAACCCAGAAACATAATGACTGGAGGTGGGGACGTAATTACTTTCTCATAAAAGCACCCACAGCTCTACTGGCCACCATTCCAACAGAAATGAATTAAAACATTTTTGACTCATGGCATGCTTCGAATATGTGCTGCTGCTGGTGCTTTTGCTATTCAGCTTTTACAGGCTCGTTGCAACTATTTAATTGAGAAATATATTCACAGTCATTATAGGCTCAAGATGACTGTTTTCCCCCTTTTTAACCCCTCAGAGCTGTATTTAAAAATGCAATTGTTAAAAGACACAGTAACTTCATTCTAATGAGCTGCCACACTGCCTACTTATTTTTAATGTACTTAAATTTCATTTGAGTAACATGTTTTCATCCCCCATCTTGAATATACAAGGACACCTAATTTTAAAAGTGTGATTTCTAGACATTTTACTAGTAATGCCAAGTTGAAAATTTTAGCAGGTAAAAAAATAAATAAATACAATTAAATATGAATTGCCTAAAACAAGTGGAAACCCTGAAGAACATAAAAACTTCTCAAATGTCTGGAAAACTATATTTTATCATTTAAGTTGTAGTTATAATTAGTAACTCTTTTAACTGAGTGCCCAGCGATTAAAGTACGTTTTAAAAACAAAACTAGGGCTAGGAGAGTATCTTAGGAAGCAGAATAATTAAAACTCCTGCCTTTGTAATAGCCTAGAGAGCATATAAAATCCTTTAAAATGCTGCATGTTGTAGGCATAAGAAGGAAAAGGGTAATAATAGTCACATTACACTGAAATTTTGATGGATCTGATACATGCGGTTGAGTATGTATCCATATTTCACCCATGTGTTGAGTGAAGCATCAGTAAGAGCAACTGACTGCAAGCCAGAGCTCCTGAAGCAAGAAGAGGTGTGTGCAGAACAGCCCAGCAATTTAAATATAACACATGATACAATGAGTGAGTGAACCGACAGAAGAAACAATGATGTAGTGACATTTAAGTGCACCAGTTATTATTTTATCTCCCAGAAAAATAACTATGGGCTGTCTCAACTGTCAGAACATATTCTCACAGATGATGGGTGATGTGTTTGCATGTGAATGAGTCTGCTTGTGTGTGTTTATGTAAATAAATATCCTCATAGCCCATGGTATTTTGGATTCTTATCTAATTATGCTGCCCCCTACAGGAGAAGAAGGGAAAAGCTCCAGGCACACTTGAAAGAGAGCCGTAGCCAGAAAAACTACAACCTCACCTCATGCAGCCTGGCCCCTAAACCCAGCCTTAGGCCTCAGCAAGGCCTGCAGCTCCAGAAAGTAAGCACTTCTGGCCCCTTTTATACCTTGCAGTAATGTATGATTTGTATCCGGATGGTATATTCTTGAACTGGATTGCGTTTATATCTTGCCTTCTAGTCTGTCTCTTCTATTGTGATCAGACTTTTAATAGACCCTATGACATATCTTTTTTTTTTTTTTTTTTTTTTTTTTTTTTTTTTTTTTTTTTTTTTTTTTTTTTT